TCTACAAGGTCTAGGGTTTGCAGGGTTTGGGGGGGGGGGGGGGGGGTTGCGGACATTTTTTGATTGGGCATCAGGCAGGCGCCGGCTTAGCCGGGGTCCCCGAGAAACTACGGTGGTTCTAGAGTTGAGGCAGTGTGTGTCCAGTGCTTGGGGATAATTCGAAAGAGGGGGAGCGGCTCAGGGGCCCAAAAAAAGGGTGAGTCAGGCACATGAGCGGCCTGAACATTGGGAAATCGTATGCCCCTTAAGGTGCTCCTTTACCATTGAACACTACAATTTTTGCCCCAAAGCCCTTTCAACCAGCAAGACGCGCTTCGTCGTGAGATTGCGAGTCCCTGATTCACAAAGACCTGAGACTGAGACGTCTGCGCCAAACGCTCAGATTCCAAGAGTCCGCATTTCATCCGCTCTAAGCCATACATACCTTTTGAAGAACTGGTTACCCCAGAATCACTGCGCCAGAAGCGCCTACATCTCAGACTCGTACAGACCCACGAAACCGAAGACCAACCGCCTTGAAACACAGACTCCTAGCGCTTGAAATCCTAGAAAGCCGTGAGCTCTAAAAACTTTGAAGCCCGCTCGCGTCTTGGAGCTTTGAATGCTTGCAAGCCTGAACCCTCACGCCCCCCAAAGTTTATGAAGGAACAAGACTTGCGCCTGGAACGCGGTGGTCCGGGGTCGGAAGCGCTGGCTGCTCTTGCCACCAGGTGGGAGGGGGCCACATCGGAGGTCATAGAAGGCGGACGCATTTTAGGATATAGGGCATCAGATTCTTTTCGGGGCTTTGAGGAACTGCAGAGCACATCTCCAGCTCGCTTCGAGCAAGAGCGTTGGGTCCTCGCCACAGCCCCAAGCTCGACGCATGGCAAGGATGCCCTCCGCCCGGCGTCCATCCGCTTCTCTGCTCAACGAGCTCTCGCTTCTTCTTGGCCAGCTTTGAATTAGGCCTTTCCTCGAACCTTTGTGGTTTTGGTAGCCGGTGTGCTGGAATAGCAATCAGGCGCGACTGCCCTCAGATTACCAGCGCTCAGAAAGCCCGTGCCAGGAAGCGCAAGACGGCGCCCCAACAAAGATTTCAATAGGCTTTGGGCGTATATTATAAGTAGCAACATCAGTACTCTAAATGAGCAGTATGATTCATTGGTAATCGACGCTTCGGATCCTGAAGCTCCTGGACCCTCAGCAAGCGGAGGTCGAAGGATGGCGCAGAGGCGACGAATGAAGCGGTATGAAGCGGTTTCGATATAGCACATCTGATTATACTGGGACTTTGCGTCTTTGCTTTCTTTTGGGCTTCGCTGGTTTATGGTTTGGGGGTTTAGGCTTGTGCGCAGTGCAGTTTCCTCTGACTTTATATGTTTTCGGGTTTCGTTGGGGTTCGAGGCTTTGGCGTGTTTAGGGTTGCCGGGTTTGGAGTTTGGGGCTTGAGATTTGTGGTTTGGCGATTTAGGGTTTTGTCCTCGGCTAGAGAGTTTGAGGTTTAGCTTTGAGGGTCTTGGATGTTATGGTGTTGAGTTAGGCTGGCTTGTGATGCATTTACATAAAAATAAGTTGCAAGTCTCACCCCCCACGCGGTGCCCCGCAGGCGTGAGCAGAAGGCTTGCGATTTGCTGGACGGCAATGGTCGTAGCTGTTAGAAGCAAAATCCCTACCACGTGACTGGAGAAATTCGCTTCAGGGTTTTGGCTAGCGGCTCCTTCTTCGAAACTACTGCTAAGCTTTGCGCAAGATATCACAAAGACAGCGTTTCTTGAAGTTACCCTGTCCAGCTTGTGGGGTGGTGTGTCACGGTTCAAGGCAGGGAAGGCCCTTCAAAGAGGTTGGAACGAGAACCAACTGTCGCAGGTCACGCAGCCTCTCAGTTTGCTGGAGTGGCTTCCCGGTTGAAATCTTGGAAGATTCTCGTAGCTTGGGGATTTCCGCGTAGGGTTTCGGTTGGACAAGATTCTGCAGTGGCCTTGCCCATGAGAGCGTACTTAGAGAATGCAGAAGGGCTCCTTGAGTCTTGGTTGATCACTTTGGTTTGGGCTGTCTTCTGGTTTTTATCGGCCTTTGTCAGGTTCCAGGCTCTGCGTTGTAGGCTCAGCCAAAGCTTGGCCTTCTCCCCAGCGGCACTAGCGGCGCTAGCGCTTCTTGGACTCTCTCTCTCTCTCTCTCTCTCTCTCTCTGTCTGTGTTTTGAGTGAGTCTGGTTATGGTCTCGTCACAAGGCATTTCCATGGTAGGTTTTGAAGCCTCCGGGACGGTTCTAGGCTGCTTCGGTTTCGGGCTTCGGGATTGGCGTGCCTCCTCTGTCTGAGCTCTCGAATTTCTCCTCCACCCGCAGGCCACCCCGGAACTTAAGAAAACCCTGTGCAACATGACGAGTACATGTTCCACAGACTCGGCCCCTGTCAAAGATCCAAGCTCAGATGACGTGCAATCCAGGTTCGCAAACTTCTACGAAGAGCTCCCAAGCTGAAAAGTTCTTTCGCGCTAGGGCGGATTCAGGGCCCGCTAAGTCGGGATGTGTCAGCACCTTGACTCGTGGTGGAACTAAGTTCAACGGCCATTACTCTCAGTTACAACTGTGATTGGCAGGCAGGTGTAGCGATGAGCGGCTTCACGAACAAGTCTTTGAGTCCATACACTGGTACTCCTAGCAATGGTAGGAGCATCAGCCGATGCGAATAGACTTATGTTGATTTCACCATTCCGCCACATTTGGGACCTGAAACATGCGGAAGCTCCGATTAGAATCCACGCAAATGTAGCCCTCCGTTTTAACCGCGCATGGTCCTACCTCAGGCTCAAGAGACATGTTCAGCTGAACTCCGCGTGGGAGCTGAAGGATCGCAGCTGCTTTCCTGTCGGCACGTTTCAATTTGCTTCTCTGGAAAGATTGTGCACCTCCCGCTTGCCCGGCGGCCTTGTTTAAGGACCAGGTAACCTGAGGGCATCGGAACTTCGAATCCATGGTGGCAACCCGTGCCAAAACCAACGCACTATCCAAGCACCCGATGTTGGTTAGGCTTGAGTACGCATACATACAGGATACACAGTTGCGATGTCTACATGTATCCGTGTACATACATACGTACATGTATCTGACCTGTGCGTAGATTCAATTGTGTATGTATGTCTGCATGCATGCTTACTTACTTGCTCGCTTGCTCGCCTTTGCTTCTACATATGCTGTGCGTAGAAGTTTTAGAGTTCTCCAGGAGGGAACCTGCGGCCCGGGCGACCTGGTCTTCATCCCCAGTGGCTGGTGGCCGACGTGGCCGCAGTGGGAAGGGAGGGGAGTTTGCAAGGGGTTTCGGGTTAAGGGCGCTTGAGCAAAGATCTTTGTGAGAATTTCAGCTGAGATTGGAATTAGGGACAAAGCAGTAAGCCCCAAACTTTCTTGTGTGCACGAAAATCGGCGGACAATGCTGCCAATACCTCAATGGCTTGACCCTGGCACCGCTGCGCAAGGAGTGTCACTTGGGGGAGCCAGGATGCTGCCATGAAGAGAAGTAGAGCTCAACTGTTAACATTCTTTCCTGCTCCCGCCTAGTGAGACCTGTCCGAGGCATTGCGTCCTAAATTTGGACGATGACACGATTGCAGCCACTTGGTGGCAATGAGTTCTTGAGATATATTCATGCAGGGCTATGGATCGAGAGGGGTAGTGCCTAGTAGTGCCCATCCGAACGGCACCACTGTAGGACATGGTAGAGTGTAGACAAGGCATCGACAGCTTATCTCCAGATGCAGAGTCTCCCTCCTCTTTAGTCTGGGCTCTTGGTACCACTCCCAGCGACATGAGGGCTTTGCTGCTTGTTTCATAGCATTGTGGCTTAAGAATGTGACGGGATACATCGGACCAGGATTTGGGGCACTGTCGAGACGGATATATAAGGAGAATGCGGCAGAGGTATGTTATAGGTGCATGATGCCTTTCGCTTTTGCACCTACCATGCGATCCTGTAGCCGAGGTCACCCAGAACTACGCTTCCGAGACCCACGTCCACGGCATTCGCCGCTTCTTGTCGGAGAAGAAGGACCAGGCCAGGAGCTGCAGTTTTGAAACGACGCCCTCCTCCTGCTCCTGCTCCGACTGCTGCTGGCTTTTGTGGTGGTGATGCTACTGCCGGCCATGTAGTATTGCTGTTCCTTATCCCAAACCCACTAGATGCTAGCTTTTGGGTTCTCGGCGGAGATCACTCCCCCGGATTGATTGCTTGACGTGATACCGGCAACACTGTTGCTTGCGGAGTCTTTGCAGTGACAGCTTTGCGGAGAACCTTGCAACCCTTCAGCTTTCTCTGAATCCACCTGACAGGTCAGCGGCACACCCGAAAGGGAGCTCTTGTCGGGTCGCTTTGAGGAGGCTCGGATTTTCTGCGATGTTAGGTCGGGATGTCGTAGGTAGCGTGACTTCTGTTGCGCCCTTGCGGAGCCTTTGCGCATTCGCATGTCGTCTGTGTAGCCTGCAAGTAGCTAAGCCTTCCGAGAGTCACAGCAGGCACGAACCCGACAGACGAGTTTCTGAACAGAGAACTCTTCTTTCATACGGTCGCAGCCTCTGCCTCATGGGAATATGGATTCCGTTTTGACCAGCCCGGAGAGTGAAGCAGCCCTGGCCATGTTTGAGGCCGCGAGCTAGCAGCAAAGAGCCTGAGTTTTCTGAGAAATGATGTTAAACCCAAAACTCAATCCTGACCCTGCCGCCCAAAGCCCCAAAGCTAAATCATGCACCACGACATCCTGTTCCCCAAGCCCAAAAGCCCTGACTGTAGACACACACCACAAAACCGTGCGAACACTCCGGCCCGCCTGGTGGTAGATGATTCGCGCAAACCCAGTTCAGCCTTATTGTGGAAAGCTGGGCTTGTTGGATCTTTGCTGCTATGCCGCGTTTCATCAATTCACAAGCACTTGACTCTGGCGTGCATGTATAACAAGCTGAGAGCAAGCCGTAAACCCTTCACTAACAAACCCAAAGAAACCTTGAACCATTGAATCCCCGCATGCCAAGCCCTCGGCCTCATCTGAGTCGTGTGCTGCACACGGAGGCTTTGGCCAAAGCTCGCCCAGATCTGCCACATCCTCAGAATTGACGTGGGGTCTAGGATTCTAGGACTCTACGGCCAGTCTAGGTTTCGGGTTCAGTATAGCGTTTGGCATACTACCATTGCTTCCTTGATGACTGTGATGATGGGTCAGAGCATGCTGTATGTCGTGCCTAGTTCTTTTCTGTCCGGCCCAGTTTATTCCGATTTGGGTTTGAAGCCAGACGTCTCCTTGAAATCCCCATCCAAGTCGGGCGGCGGCCTCTTGAGAGGAAGCCATTCCGACCGAAATCCAGTCCTGCAGCTACGTGTATCCCCAAGCCAGAAAAGACAGAATGCCTAGGAAGGCCTATAGGGTTTCTGCTGGAAAGGCTTACTCTTCTCAGGCATCTCAGCGCTCGATTTCGGCGGCTCCTGTCATGACTTACCCACCAGTCACCATGCTGCAGCCTCCCCGCAACCCTCACACAAACTGTGGCACTTCCTTTGCTTCTGTTCCTGATTTCGAGCTACAATCAAGAAGGCACCTAATCCCGGCGACTGTGTACCTCAAGATTAGTTTCCAGAGCCTTCTCAACAGCACTACTCGCTCCTCCCGCCTCAGCCGATGTTTAACACTTCTCACTTGGCACGACAAAACCCCCTTCTTCCTCGCTTTGCGCATTCGTTTGCTTCAAACTGAGCTCTAGCTTCTGAGGCTGGCTGAGAGCGAGTCTCCAGCCGAAGAAGCGAAGACTGCGCGGTGCTAAGGGCGTGGCGGGGTTTCAGGTGTTCAGGGTGTAAGTGGGGGCTTTAGGGTTTTAGGTGTTTAGACTTTTCAATTCTGACGGGCTTGGAGTCAAAGGATTTCGGGATTTAGGTGTTGAGGGCTTGTCGGGTTTAGGGTTTAGGGTTACGGGCTCTTGGCAACTACTGAATACTTGCAACCGGAGGTGAGGCCTCTGCAAGTGCCATGCGTCTAGGACGTGGGGATGTTCTCTGCGCGCGACTAGCGGCTAGCGGAAATAGGATGACTCGCGTTAAGTTGTCGGTTGTGTCTGCAGGTTGTGTCCCGCTTTCGTGATGTGAAGTCTCCGATGTGCTGCGCCTAGGGAGGCTCTTGGTTAGTAAAGGTTGCCGGGCTGGCAGCAGGGAGCATTCAGAGGACCATGGCTATGGCCATGTCGTTGGCTGATCCCGCCGCAGACCGAGCCCCTCCCCGCGCCAGCGATTGCGCGTGGCACATGTTGGACGGGAAATGGCTGTCGCCACGACAGTGCGCTGGAGTGCCCCCGCGCTATCTCTTGCCTGGCAAGTTCTACGTGCGGAGAGCGCAGTCGCGCAGTCATGTTTGCCGGAGATGTGGCAGGAAGTTTGATGTGAGCTTGATGACGATAGGCTACCCCACAACGGGCACGCAGGGTGACAAGAACGCCACGGCAGTTTGGATGCATGTGACGTGTGCTGCCAAGGATGCAGAGTTGGTTGAAATTGCGAGGGAGGGACGCGAAAAGATGCTCGAGGCGGTTCTTGGCTTTGATGCGCTGCCAGATGCTGTGCAGGACTCCCTCATGGACGAGATTGTCGGCCTAGGCCTGGGCGCTCGCGGCTGTTCACCTGTTCCGGAAGAGCCCGTATTTCCAGAGAGTCAGACGGGCACTGGGTTCAAGATCGCCCCGGCAAAGGCGCCCGCGCCATTGCGTGGGTCTTTGCTGCCTTTTCAGGCGGAGGGTTTGGCTTGGATGTTGCAGCAGGAGGAAGGGGAGTGTCGTGGTGGTATCCTTGCAGACGAGATGGGGATGGGAAAGACCTTGCAGATCATCTCGCTAATCCTTTCAAGTTCGGCCTCACCAACCTTAGTGGTGGTGCCCGTGACAAGTCTTTACCAATGGGAGCAGGAGATTCAACGCTTTGTGAATCCAGGAAGCCTGCAGCTCTTCATGTTTTACGGTGCAGGAAAGGCTTTGCCAGATGATGTGGGCACAGGCAGACGGACCGCGAAGGTTCTGGTGCTGACGACTTTCAGCAAGTTGGAGAGGGAGCACCGAGATTCGCGCGAGCTTTCTGTCCCGGAGGGCCAGGCCCCACCAACAAAGCGAAAGAGGTTTGCATGCGAGGCAGTCGCGGAGCCTCCGCTCTTTCAGATTCCTTGGCAACGAGTGGTGCTGGATGAGGCCCATCGAGTGAGAAACCTGGCCTCCCTCACCAGCCAGGCAGCGATGAGGTTGAAGGCTTCTGGGCTTCTGTTAGTTAAAGCTGTGCCCGTCATCGGGATAGCGAACCAGGTATCGGCTTCAGGGTTTCGTTTGCCAGAATATTTATTTTGCGGACATGTGGTGCATGTTACATTGGGTCAGGTTGCTAGGCCAGAACCTAGGCTTCTCTGAGATGGTGTGTATCTGGAACTCCGCTGCAGAACCGGACAGGCGGGCAGGGATGGGGGCAAACCTCTTTGAAGTTCGTTTGGGCAGACACTTTGGGGTGTAGACTTCGCGTTTCGGGTCGATGGAAGCATCTGCCGCTCAACCGTGACTTGTTGATTCGCGTGTTGCCTGTTTACGAGAACAGTGTTCACTATGACTCTGCTAAAGCATGCTTGCTCGCATGTTCCGAACATCGACACTAAAACCGAACCGACGGGGCTTTCTTCAGAGGCGCACGGCACCCTCGCCTTGTGTTCACAAGTAAGATGTGTCTGAATCGGCCAAGGCACAGGCTCCAAGAAGGATGCCTTGCTTTGAGCCCACCTTGCCTGGCCATTGCGTTAGCAAGCGTTTCGTTGAGTAAGAGTGAGCGCACACAGGCGAGCTGGCCCCCATGGTCCGCTTCTTGCGATTGCGGCCCTTTGCCTATCTGAGATGTGGCAGAAAGGGCTGTAGCTGTGAGTGCTTTGATGTCCAGTGCGATCCGGGCACACAGAAGTGCCGCGAGTGCAAGCACAGCCGGATGCTGCACCGGAGTATCTTCACATCCGAGATTCTCACTCCTATTCGACAGCATGGCTTCCGGGACAGAGGCAAAGTCGCAATGGAGACGCTCCGCTTCGAGGTTCTCCAAAAGCTGCTCCTACGCAGAACGAAGCTTGCTGTCGGCATCGGACTTCCGCCGATGCACGTGTCCGAGCACAAGGTTAAGCTAAGCAGCCCTGAGCGGCGCCTCTACGACTCTGTGAGAGCTCAAAGCCTGGCCGTGTTCGAAGACTACGCAACGAATCTGACAAAAAACTTCTGCCACGTCTTTGCCCTTCTTGCGCGCCAGCGCCAGGCTGCCTGCCACCCCCTCTTGGTGAATCACAACAAGGTCTTTTCTGGGAGATGCCCCATTTGCCAAGGCATGGCCGAGACGGTGCTGGAGTGTGGCCATGGCTTCCACGAAGACTGCTGGGCAGACTACGTAAGGGACAGATTGCACGATTCGGAAGGTGAGGAGGAGCCGTCTTGCCTTGCCTGTGCTTGGGGAGCGATACCCGGAAAGGAGTTTTTGCAGGAGCTTTCGGGGAAACTCAGAAGTTCTAGCAAGCTTGATGCTGTGGCCAGCCGAATCGAGCAGCTTCTTCGCGAGGATCCTTCTGCAAAGTTCCTGGTGTTTTCCCAGTTCACGCACTTCCTTGAGATAGCGCACTGGAAGCTTCAGAAATGGGGAGCCGGCCTCCTGTGTGGCAATACTCAAGTGAAGAAGAGGCAGGGCATTGTGGAATCCTTCCAATCAGATCCCGAGCTTCGCATCCTCCTCATCTCTCTGCAAGTCGGAGGCGAGGGCTTGAACTTGCAAGAAGCAAACTTCGTCATGCTGCTGGACCCCTGGTGGAACCCTGCTGCCGAGCTGCAAGCGATGCAGCGTGCGCACCGAATCGGGCAGAAACGGCCGGTGAAGGTGATTCGTTTTGTGTCGGAGGGCACGATCGAGGAGAAGATTCTGGAGCTGCAAGAAAAGAAGCAGAAGATCTTTGACAGCACGATCGAAGGGAACAACGAAGCTTTGCTTCGGCTCACAGGGGAAGACATCCAGCGTCTTTTCCGCGAGTGAGACGGCAGACGGCGGTCAAGAAAAGAACACGGTCACCAACCAGGCGGTTGGAATCACGTGCTCCCAAATTTATATCATAGTTGGGTGGTGCTCCTCCTGGCCTTAAAGCCCCGGCTGATGCACTCAACCGAAGTTGACAGAGGCCGAACGGCCAGCCGGCTTCTCCTTCTGGGACCATTTGAGGCCTGTTGTGACTCTTGATAAGGTTTGTTTAGGATGAGGCCTTCTTTGTGGGATCTCGGGTTAATGGAATTCATAGGGGCAGGGATTTGGGATCTGCTGCTTTCTAGGAGACTCACAGTGATTGCCGCCGTTTCAGATTTATCCCATTCAGGCGTGCCTATGGTTTCCTGCGACACAGTAGCAAGTCTTCTCACTTCATCATTTCAACAACAGATACACGGAAACATAAATGGAGCAACATCTAGACATAGATCTGAATACTGTCGCCAACGTCTCATGTTGGTATCAGGTTTGATGTTCAGGGTTGGTCAGTATGTGGAGACGATGCTTTACAGGCAGGAGGCCTTGAACACCCTTTTGTAGACAATCAAACAACCAAAATCTTCGATTCTAAACCCTAAACGACCTAAATCCTGAACCCCCTGAGCTTTCGGACTGCCCCGGCAACTGCGAGCGCGTGCGTCATCCCACCCTAACTGCACCGAAAGTCCTAAGACCTGGTCGCTCCTGTAGCCTGTATTCCACATGTTGCAGCTTTGGTCTCAATCCGAAGCCCTTCGCTGCTCGTCGATCCTGTAGTTCAAACTCCTACAAATCCCGACCTCGTAAATCCCGAACTCCTATCCCAAATTGCGAACCCTGCCCCTGACAACTGCCGTAAACCAACCATGTGGTAGGTCCACCGGAAAGTCGCTGGGGTATCAGGCTCCGGATGAGGACCGCCCCGTGGCCGCGGTAGTCGCCGTCGCTCAAGCCGTCGCGGTCGTCGAAGTCATCGTCGTCTGGTCGTCGTCGTCGTCGTGCTCTTCATCGTCGTACTCGTCGACGAGGATGGCGACGATGTTGTTGATGATGATTACGACCACGATGGTTATCGTCACTCGTTGCTGCTGCAGGTTGCTTGAGCGCGTTTAGCACTGTTCCTAGTGCTGCTTCATGGAAAATAACCATATCTTTTGCCCAGGATCCGTGATTCAAAGCGACTTCGCAGGCCTGCACCGGAGGAGGGCTTCAGGCATTGGCGTTAGCGTGCACAGGGCGTATGGCCCAACAAGGCCCCTCAACGCTGCACCCGCGAAGTGTGACCTTGTAACACAACAACAGGTTGGGACCTTGAAGGCTGATCTTTGCTATTGTAAACATTGCGAGTGTTTCTGATGTGCTCGGTGTGAGTCGTGCCTACGTGGCTGTTGGAATGCTTGGCCAAGGCTTCCTAGTCCTAGACACTTTCAGGCAGGTGCGCGGGAAGTCTTGGCTTTGGGCTGTAACTCGAGGTCCCCAAAGCCCGCAACCATAAAATGAAAGCCTTGAGCCTTAGTACCAGGCCCTGGAAAGGCAGCCGGCGGGCTCCAGCCTAGAGCTTTGGCAGTTTCCTGAGACTCACATCTTCAACCTCCTCGCACAAGCACCACAGGGGCAACCCTTCACAAGAACAAAGCAAAGCCTTCAAACAAGCTTCGGCACATGCCGTCCGACCCATCAAGAAGGATCAAAGAAGCTCCTACCTGTCCTACCTGCGACGGTCGTTTGCTCTTGGCCATGTCCCAATTTGGGGTCCCTTGCAGTCCGATAGAGAAACTCAAGTCGCAGAGTCGGCAAGATGAGCAAGCGTGGATGCTAGAAGCCACCCTGACCGCACAGTGCAGGTGCTGAGCCTTGGGTCGCGACGAAGCCTTGCGCGAACTGAGCGCGGAGGCGTGCAGATCAGTGACCGCAGCTCCTGACGCAGCATTTCGGGTTTGGGGTGTGTTCCTGACCCCTGGTCTAGGAACCGCGATAGTCGCTACACTCTCACACCCACAACCCCAAAATATTGAACCAAGTCCGCCCTAAACCCCTCAACCTGAAAGGCTCCACCCAAATTCCGGCACCACAGCCGTGCGAGGCGGCGCGGCCTCGCCAAAACGGCCCCGAGCTGCTGAGAGCGCTTTCGGGGCCCTTGATCCCGGACATTGCTCGCAGTGTCTTCGGGGGTTTCGGGTTTGGGGGTTTAGGGTTTGGGGCGTTAGGCTCATGTAGGGTTTCAGGTTCGGTTTCAGGGTTTGGGGTGTGTAGGGTTTTTTGAGCACTGCTCGAGCGATGCGTGCTGGCGGCTCGCCATTAAAATGTCTCTGCTTCGTCGCTGCACCATCGGCTCAACCTCCTAGAAGCCACAGGGGACGAAATAGCCTGAACGATACTCCGCGCAGGTGCCTCCCCTGCCTGGTCCGAGCGAGTCCGGCAGTGGCCGGGCCCCAAAAGGGTAATTCCAACCATTCTCACAGGGCTGAGTGTATTGGGCCGGCATGGCCACAACCTCGATTCCTCCGGGTTCAGGGCCACATGCCTCAGGAAGTGACAGCTGTGCTTGCAATCTGAAAGACCTCGCCCCTGAACCTGCTCAGCTCTAGCCCCTTGGAGTTGCCTGCATGCTTAGCGATAGCACCCCTGTTTAGTACTGTACCAGACTATGCCCAAAAATCATGGTCGATTCGTACAAAGGTGCCTAATGTTTTGCGGGCTCCTATCGTGTCGGATCTCATATTCCCAGCCCTTGATATTGACGGATTCTGCAACCGTCTGAGGGAATGTCCTGAGAGCAGGTGGCGTGGCGAGGAGGAGGGCCCACCGAGACGGCTGTTGCGACTGCAGAGTCCCGCAGGGCCCCCCAGACCAGGCAACAGGGGAAGCCTTAATTTGGAGACTTCGACGAATCCTCTCGACCTCTTGGCCTGTTGGGTCTGAAGTGAACCCTGGAGCAGTCTCAGCCCTAAACCTGACGCGCAAGAAACACCTGAAACTGAAGTTCAAGTTCATGCAACAAGAAGCAGGCCAGGCAGAGAGCATCAACTCCCACAACACCAGAGAAGCGCTCGCTTCAGCGGAGCCCACAGTGTCCAGGCCAAGCTCCACAAGGAGGCGCGCAGGGCGCACCACCGACAGCGCGCCCCACTCTCGAATTCCTCAATTAGGTGAGCCGCCCGTAGAGTTCCTGCATGTAAAATTGCGAGACCATGTACCCACAAACCCTATTCTAAGTGCTAAGGCCCTCATATCAGGTCAACTGGGTCGTTCAAGTAGGAGGACAATCGAGAACACCGAAGCTCCAGCGCGATGGACCACCTGTATCCCGAGAAACCTCGCCCGTTTTGTGTAACATAGAGGGAAACCATAAGGAGCCAAATGCTGGGCGTTGAGTCTACAGGGTCCAGAAACCGAGTGACGGTCATAGTTGATTCAGTACTTTCATGTGGTTCTAGGGTCTTGTGGCATCTCTGCCGTCGAGGATGTCCTGTGACGCACTTGCCGGCTTGAGTTCGATGTGCTGTTGGCCCCAGACTCCACGAAACCTTTTTCAGGATAGGAAAATTATCAAACTCTTGAGTCATCGGCCTGACCACTGTTCGTGGCAAGGCCAGAGTCTGTCTGTCTGCCTGCCTGGCTGGCTGCCTGTCTGTCTGTATGTATGTATGCATGTACAAACTTATCGTTGTGTTCGAGAGGAGGTTGTTTTAGGGATTGAAAAAAACTCTGAAGTTGATTATCCGGTTGCACAGTTTTCCATTGGTTGACGAGCGGGCATGCTGCTGCAACTTCAAGTCCGTAAGACCCTAAATAATGCTTCAAAACCACAGCGAATAAGTAAGTATTTTTCCTGACGCTTGGTCTGCAGTTTTGCACAATCAAGCGCCCGGAGAGAAACCCCCCAAAACGGGCTTACTAAACAATTCCTATCACATGTCCCCCCTTAGCCTAATGCAATGCCCCTCACCAACTTTCCTGCAGCGTTTGTGCTCAACTGAACCGCTCTTGACCCGGGACTCGCAATGTCTCGGCTTTGGCTATGGCCTTTTGGATTTAGAGTAGGGGTTCATGTCAGAAGGGACATTCCCTTGGCTTCCGGAGTGTTGCTGCAATAGGATAGCTGGGTCAACAGCTCGCATCAAGCGGGCTTGCCTGCATCAAGCCTACAACTACTTGGGTCGCAGTCATGTGTGTTTCGGCTTGACTTCCGCGAAGCTTGTGCTGCTGGCATTGAGGTCCTGGCTGTGTCTCTGTGTCTGCTCACTGGCAGAAGACTCCTGCAGCGCAAGTCCCCGCCCGGTGTCGGGGAATTGCCTGCTTCAGAGACTTGCCCACATCGTCAGTGTCATGGGAGGAGCCGATTGTGTGTGTGTATGTATGTATGTATGTATGTATGTATGTATGTATGTATGTGTATATATATATACATATATATATATATATAGAGTGTGTGTCGCTGTGAGGGCGCGCTTTTCTCGAATAAACATGAGTTTTTTTACTGATTTTTATGTTTT